TATAGTTCAGTGTATGCAGGCGCAGTCCTGGGCTAACTTAGTTCACAATTGGAAGTCTAAATGCTTTAACACCCCTTGTTTCAGTCAGTGCAATATCTTCAATACAATGACAACTAGGGATGGTCGGAGTTGTTTTTTTGACCCAGTACCAATATCTGATATTTGCCTTGCTGTTTTAAAATCTTTAGTATAGACCAAATTTTTGCTTGGCCTGTTGAAGTATATAAATGAACTTATCTCTTTTGAAATAAGTCTGTTCAAAAAGACAAATCTGTTACATTGTGGACAAACTTTGAATGACACATGGGAACAGAGACTTGGGCAGTGCAGAATTAATATTGCTGCAAAATATCAGCTAAGTTTTCAATATTGGACCAACATATGGGGGCCACCTCCGATATTGCTGATAACTGAGAACCTACATACCATCCCTAATGACATAGGTAATAGTGGTTTAGAATGATAAGCAAAAACAAGCTGGGATTGACTTGAGTTTTTGCTTTGTAAATTATGAATGAAGCGACAGTCTTTAACAGGTTTTTGCCAGATACAAATTTAGGGTTTTTAGGTCTAATAAATGTTTCATCATTTCCAAATTCCCTTTGCTTTTTAGCTCCACATTTGAGTGTCTTCTGCAGCCTCTCAGGATGTCATGATTGGTGGTAGTGCAGTGATGTGAACGCAGAACAGCCATGCTTCCTGATTAACACAAAAAGGTGATTAGAATGTAGACTAAGATTCTACCCATAATAGGGCTGTCAAAAGTAAAGTATCGAAAATCAGATACTAATCTATACTAAAATTAATATTGAAACTAGATACTGATTTGAGCAGCTGCATCAGAACAAGTATAAAACCACATAGACTAGTATATGCCCATGATGGAACCTGAACGGCTGAGGGATTACACAGATATAAGGCCACAACATAACATAAAAGAAAGTACTATGATTTAGTGTTGAAAATATATTAATGTTTTTTTATTATCATTGTAATATTGCAATCAGAATTGCGCATTGAGTCTATTCCTTAAAGATTCAATCTCTTGAAATTTCATTATCATGACAACCATAATAATTTGAATTGTTTTGACTTTGTGTGAGACATTTTAATTGAATTTTAAAGGTGCACTATGTAACTTTTCTGGTGGAGTGTCTGCCACTTGCCTCTTTGGAGATGTTATTGCTTTGCTTAGACTGTTCCACAGTGAGGAATTAAACCTAGTCTTTTTGCAGTCTTTGATTTTATATTATATTAATTCTGTGTTAATCGTTGGCTCAATGATATCTTGATATCTTGATAATCTTGTATCTTATATCTTATATCTTATATCTTGATAAGACAAGCTAAAGTGGAGGTGGAGCAGGTGTAGGACCCTTCACAAGAAATGTTACTTAATGTGAATGCTTCTTTAAGTTTTCTCCATTGACCAAGTCTTTTTGTTTTGTAAAATTTGACTTGAATTATCATTTCATCACTCAAAATTGTAAAGGTATTTTTCAACAAGTATTGTTTTTAGCCTTATTTAAGCACTCTCACTTCTGTCCATGTGCTAACACTGGCAATGGTGATGTTATACGTAGAACATAGAGCTAAATTACAGTAGTGTTGTCATGTTTTGATAGTTAGGAATGGACTCAATACTCAGTGCCATATTTTATACTTGTTTTGATAAAGTTCAAGGTACTCAGGAAAGGTTCATTTCTGTCCTGTGAATCTACTTTTGACAGCCCTATATTACAGTAACTAGTACAGCCTGTTGTATTTTATGGTACAGAACATGAAATATCAATGTTCTTTACTTTAAATAATAAAAGAGCAATAAAGACATAATAAGCTCTTTAATAACATGCAGTAGTTACAAGATATGGTTTCAGTATTGGAAGCTATAGTCTCTCTTGTTGTTGTGAAATAAAGGTTTGGAGGAGCTCTAAATTACATTCCCTCCCAAAGTAGTTCAAATTTATCACAACAAACAGACTGTCTACTCTTCACCTTTGGGAAAATAACACAGACACATTTCAGAATAATTGTGTGATTTTTGGCATTTCAAAACAGTTACACCAGACTATGTTCCCATGCATTTTGAGACTATGTGCTCTATGTATTTTTCCACCTGCTTGTCTCCGTGGGGATTCATTTGACTTTGACTGAATGTTTAAGCCATGTTATGATGCTGTTAGCTCCTCAAGAACATACCTGGAGTTTCATGTTTCATTCATGTTTGAGTAATCCTTTATTATAGTCTACTTCTCCAAAGTTCAAAATACTGCATTTTGTGATGTCATCTAGGGTAGTTTTCAAATAAACAGTTACCTTTTACTCTTTGCTTAGTAAAGATGGGCAATTCCAGGGCTGAAATTATCCAGATGATTTTAGTGAAGGTGTATGGAGTGAAAACACAATTTAGCACTTCCTGTATGATCACATGGCATCACAAGGTGTAGCAGAGTGTTTTCTGTATAAGAGCGGAACACAGTCTAAATACGCAAGGTTTGTGTGAATGTGAGTGAAATAAAACACAACTCCGAATATGTTTTTGATGAGGAAATAACATTATAACATGGATCAGCAAATAGCATATTTGGGCCATTTTAATGTATTGTTTAATGAATGCATAACAGCTGAGTGAGATTAAATATGTTCAGTATTATATTACTAAACTGTACTTTCCGTAGTAAAAGCTCTCATGTATCAGTTAGAGTGTGAGGTGAGGAGAAGGTCTTATGATTGTGACCCATAGCCCAGAGTGGAGTGGTGTATTTATTTTATGTTACGGGGACATAAATCTGTTCCAAAGCCTCTTAAAGGGATTTGCCTCCCGTCGGGCAATGAAAGGGCTTCAGAGCATAAGCAGTTAAAGGGGAGGTCAAATGGAGTCACAGCTCAGTGCAGACTGCGTTAAGTTTGTTTTATCATGTAATGTTCAGACAGTTTTGTCACTTTTGTGTCTCTGGGGTTAAGTGTTATCTCTCAATAAAAAAATTCCCTATGCAACTTTTCTGGTAAGCGGTACGCCATCTGCTTCTCTCCCTGGAGATGTTCTTGTTTTAATTGGAATATTCCGCAGTATGATATTAAACATATCTATCTTACAAGTATTTGTCTGGTAAAACCTGCATTCTTACATTCTTGCATGGTCATTAGTCTGTAGATCTGACCTGTACCTCCATGGCATTTCCTTGCATCTTTAAAACTGTCAGGAGCAGTGGGTGACTACAGTGCAGTGTCCAGGGCTCCATCTCCACACCCAAGTCAGGATGTTGGACTATCTTACCTGGAGGATTTGTCTGTTATTGTGCAATCTTATGTTGATAGTGGAACAAGAGAACCCAGTAGAAATTAATTCAGACACAAAAGAACAGTTATTTGAACTTCCATCACACATTATGTAATTATTTTTACCTATTATTTCATACCAATACTGGGAATGTCCAAGTATTTAAATGTAGGGTACTTGTCATACTCTTTTAAATAAGGAACTATGATCACAACTGAGCGTGGATTGCCAGTGCTTTACCTTGCATGGGTGGTTTTCAGATTCTAGGATGTAATGATGTCATACTCCTAGATGGAGAGCAAGATTGGATTTATACCTTTTATACATGAGATAAAGTATAAAAGGTACATGCACAAATGTTGAACCTGTAACCCAATCTGTATTAAATATTGTTGGTCTATAGAATGTTTTGAAGCCATCTGAAATTCAGCAATAGAGGACATAAAAAAAACTGTACTCTGAAAATGCTGTAGTATTTGCTTATAGATGCATCTTATTTCCTCTCATCCAAAGCCTGTGTTGTGACAGAAGCGCCTCTCTCTGTAGGCACTGATGCTGTTCATTCAATATTAATGTAGCGCTACAGGGAGAGGGGAGGGGGGGTGCAGAGAAAGGGTTTTCCTAGAGAAGAAGACAAGGAGGAGGAGAGGAAGGGGGGGGATATGGACAGAGAGAGAAAAGAAGAGAAAGGAAATGGAGAGGAGGAGTCTATGGAGTGAAATGGTTTTCCAAGATCAGATGAGAGAGGGAGGATGGGGAGAGAGAAAGAGGTGTGAGAGAAAGAGGGGGTAGGGAGGGACTGAGAAAGAATAGAGAAGACAGGAGGGGAAGAGAAACGGAAAGAGAGGAGAGAGGGACTGGTGAGAGAGTAAGGAGAACAAGAGAGAGATGAGAGAGAGGGAGACAGAGGTGTGAGAGAGAGGTGGGTGAGACAGAGGATTACATTGACTGCAACAGACAGCAGCTAAACAGATAGTACAGACACATGAGAGAAGCTGGAATACGAGGTATTGATTTGTAATGAAGCTGAGGCATAAATAAAATGTGGAACTTTGTATTTCGTCATTTCTATCCGTGGGTGTGGATACTGTGGTCAAATCAGCCTCAAGATGACAGGCCTCTATTGCTGGTTTAGTTCTGGTCTGTAGTCTGTCTCGACTCTCTCCAAGATGAAAGCCTGACTTTGAGGTTCAGTCGTGGTCTTGTCCTGGTCTGTAACTGTTCTCTCCTCTCTCTGTGGGCTGTAAAAAGTGCTGTGTGCCTTCCTCGCCAGTATTAGTCCTGGTTCAGTCCTGGTTCAGTCCTGGTTCAGTCCTGGTTTAGTCCTGGTCTAGTTCTGGTTCAGTCCTGGTTCAGTCTTGATCTAGTTTTGGTTCAGTCCTGGTTCAGTTCTGGCTCAGTCCTGGTTCAGTTCTAGTTTAGGTTTGGCCTATAACCTGTCTCTCTCACAAGCAGTAGAGTGCTGTGAGCCTTGTGTGGGCAGTCTCCTTTGGGGTTCTCTTTAGTCCTGGTTTAATCCTAGTTCAGTCCTGGTCTGATCCTGGTTTACTCCTGGTCTAGTTGTGTTTCAGTCCTGGGGTAATCCTGGCCTAGTCTTTCAAGAAGTGAGCTTTGCGTGAGCCTCCCTTCCTGTGTTAGTCCTGGTTCAGTCCTGCTTTAATCCTGGTTTAGTTCTGATCTAGTCCTAGTCTATAACCGGTCTTTCTCTCTTTCTCTTTAGGCTGTAAGGAGTGCTGCGAGCGTTGCGTGGGCAGTCTTCCCTGGGCCTCCCTCATTGCCACCATCTTACTGTACATGGGAGTGGCTCTGTTCTGTGGCTGTGGACACGAGGCTCTCAGTGGGACAGTGACCATTCTGCAGAACTACTTTGAGGTGATTCGAGCTCCGGGAGATGTTATCGATGTCTTTACTATGTGAGTACACTGGATTTGAGGTAACACTTCACTTAAAAACATTATTAATTTTGAGTCGTGACAAGGCATTATGCAATATGTAATACATTACATTTAATACTTGTCCAGGTGTCCACCCTTGAAACCTTTTCTACATAGAATGCAACAAATGAAGGATTGTGTTGTCTAATCAATTTAATATTTCTCAATAAATTGTTTATAATAATAATAACAGCACCTACCCACATTATTTTAGATTTGATTCTAATTATTAAATGTGCACTGTGCAACGTTTAGGTTGGGGGTCCATCACCTGCTTGTTTCTGTGGAAGTGATTGCTCTGCTGGGAATGTTCCACTGTATGACATTAAACCGCTCTACCTTACATTAAAAAAAAAAAAATCTCCACAGATATGACCAGTAACTTGGTTTGGTTTGGTCTCCATGAAGATAGAAAAGTTTAATGCCTTGCTGTGAAACATTCCAGATGAAGTAATTACGTCTCAGTGGAGAAAAGCATTTGACGGACGTTCTACCAGAAAAGTTACACAATGCACCTTTAACGAGTAGGCCTAGTTATTATAAAGCAGTATTCAGATGTTTTGAGGAGGTTAAAAGCTCAAAATATTAAATCTGGGGTATCTGATGTTCACACCACAGAAGGAAGAAGTAAGTATTTAAATCTGTCTTAACTCCTCCGTAGCTTTTTAACAAACCATTTCCTCACATTCTTTCCACAAGCATTATCTTTTAGGGCATGTCCTCAACTTTGGGACAAGTGAAACAGAGGTGGATGTCCCAAGCGCAGCTAATCAGAACACTGCTTTAGTGATTACTTGGTGGCTTACAAGAAATAAAAATACTTGCAGCAGACAAAGCACAATATACTCTTTGGGGGAAAATAAAAAATGTACTCATAAAAAAACTTAGGTACCTCAGCTTTAATTCTTGACTCTCCTCCAATTACCAAGTTCTCAGATGGAAATAGAGGTGGGTGATATTATATTAACGATATAAAATGGATGTTGTAAAGAAATGCAAAATCAGAATAGAGTACACTGTCTACAAGAGGAAAACTACTAAAAAGCTTGTTATCTCATTATAGAGATAAGTATTGGTTCTTGTTTTGGTTTCAGAACATGTTAAATTAATGAGCTTCACTCATTAGTGCATTGAGGCCCTTCTCTTCTCTGTAGTTAGCTATGTCTCGTAGCCCCCACACTGCACTCAAAGCCCTTACAACCGCATCTAAACAGCGATTACTGACTGAGTGTTGATGTCATTCCCACAGCATTGACATCCTGAAGTACATCATCTATGGGCTGGCAGCTGGCTTCTTTGTGTTCGGGGTCCTTCTGCTCGTGGAGGGCTTCTTCACCACTGGGGCCATCAGGGATCTGTATGGAGAGTTCAAGATCACTGCCTGCGGACGCTGCCTCACCGCATTCGTAAGAAATGTTTTTAATACCTACCACCAGTGCCACAATATTTAAAGAAAAATTTATTTGATCATATTATTTCTACCATATTAAAATGTTTTTCACTCATCAAAAACATGTCTGAAGAGGTTTTAGATGTCATCCATGCATGTTTGAGTAAGCTTGTTGTCTCTCCCGGGCTCAAACCTTCATTATAGTTAACAGTACAATTCAAGACTCAGCCCACAAGCCTACATCACCCATGCTCCCTCAAAGTGATTTTCCATAGATATACAAGAGCAGGATATAAAACAATACACTACAACTTCACAAACCTGATGCAATATGCAGTAGTTGCATTAGCAGGATGCAGGCTGATTTTGTTGTGTTAGCCCTCAGAAGGGGGAGGGATTTTATGCGGGGAGCAGAGTAAGCCAAAAACAAAATTGAAACTAACTAATCACTTTGAATACATTCTTGCATTGTCAGCAAATATAGCATTTTCAACACTATAAAAGCTGACATGTATATATGTTATCTATATATGTTATGTGTTAACACTTAATACCCCATAGCCTGCTGACTTCCTATTTAAAACTGATTTCTGTCTGGCCCTTTACATGTATGTCATTGAAAGCATCATCACAACAAAGTGCCACTGTCTAACCATGTTCAATGTCCTGCCAATGGCTAGCTGCTGTTCAGGGTTATGGTGCCTCAAATGAGAAATAATAAAACTTACTCAAACATTGACAAACCACAACTTACTATGGGGGAGGACCATTATAATACAGTTAAAAGGTTAAATGTTAAATAGATTGTACCTCACATGCTTGGAGCGAGTTCTGATTAGGCTGTGCGGTGCTCTGGACTTTGGCAGTAGCTAGCACATATTATGAAGCTCAGTAATTGTAGGTTTGCTCTTTTTGGATAACGACAGGTATTTTGGTAATGTTCGAAAATGATTGGGTAATTTAAAACCATTCTTATTTAGGAGATGCTGAACAGGCTAATGGATGTTTTTAGTTTTTAGCAGGGATGTCAGTACAGACTTAGAGACCTTCAGTCTAAGACACAGTTTGTGCTTTTTTTATTTTAAGACGGGATATTATTTTATTTTATTTCTTATGTGACATTTTAAATTGCAAAACTCTTTTTTGCATATATACATTATTTGATTGCCTTTTGTGTACTCTTGTTAATTTTACAGTGACATCCTGCGTTCTTGTGTGTTATGTAACCAGGCTTTATTTGGACATGACTAAGTGAACTCTCCCTTTTATAGGATTATGGTGGTGAGTCAGGTGATGAAACAATTTACACTGTGTAATATGCCATGGCGTAAGGTAATTAGTAATACAGTCACACATATGCATTTTATTTATTTATACACAATGTTGAGGAATAGAAAATATTCTAGTAGGTTTTTAGGATCAGGGCATTGAATATGGCTTTATTTCTGGTTTAGCGCTAGTTTAGTTATGATTTAGTCCATGAGAATCACTAGAAGACTGTAAGTTACTGAGTAGAGATATGAGCCTAGGAAAGTGTAACCATAAGAATCAAACACTATTTTTAGACCTGGATTGCGAAGTGTTGCTTTCAGCGTGCCCTACAATTTAAATAGATTTTCGCAGTTGTGTACAAGCAAACTGACATGGAGATAGATATGATATAGAGAAAACCTGATTAGAGACAATTACAGACTCTGATATCTTCCACACAAATCAGTAATAGGTTTAAATTATAACCAGCTTTGAAGGCAGACTATAACTTCTCGGGTGACTTCTCGGGTACCATCTGCTTGTCTCCATGGAGATGTAATAGCTTTTCCTGGAATGCTCCATAGTATGACATTAAATATATCTAGCATTTATTTTGCGATGTGTGTTTTTTTTTTTTTTTTTATTGCTCAAAAATTCTTGGTAAAACTACACTAACATACAATACTTTATGAAAATGTGAGTCTGGTCACTAGTGAATCTCTCTCAGTTTAGATGGGCACATATACCACAAAATAAAATACCTCAAGGAACTTAAAGCAATGAAGCACTAAACTCTGAAGTGAAAGAATTTTCATCTTATTTGTAAATTATAGTTGCCCAATGAGTTCTTTTACTTCACATGCGTTACTGAAAAAAACAAACTTCTGGCTTGAGACCAGTGGAGGGCAAGGGGACCAGATTGTTGTTGTCTGTATAAGAAATAGAGAGATATCATTCTGGATTTGTCAGGTGATGGTAAAGCGTGCCTTTTCACAGATCTGTCTCATAACTGCGTTGCAACCTGGGTGTCTTTTGGATAGGTTTTATGCTATACCATGGAACTTTCCAGGTTGTGCAATAACAAGAAAGTGTCTCTACCGAAAAGTTTTTTAAAAAGCTACTTAGTGCATCTTTTAATTTATTTATGTTTTCAAATGAAATGAATATATTATTTCTTTACAGAATGAACAAGTTTTTGCCCTCTAACCCGAAGGTTGGGGTTTGTACTTCTCCCACCTATCCTGCATGAGCTGTTTGACACTCAGACTGGTTACTACCACCAGTATGGAATGAATTATGCACCACATTTTAAAGTAAAAATCTAGGAGCATTAACTTTTGGGAGGAGAATGAAGTATGAACTGATAAACTAATACAAGATCCACATCAAAACATATTTGTAGAGATCTTAACTACAAGTACAAGATATAAAGACAGGATATTCTGTTCTTTGCAGAGGACTTTCTATTATCTAATTAATTGCAGCCTTTGTGATTTGATAATGGTGCTTACTGAGAATCCTATTTCAATTTGAGAGCATTTCCTTCCATCCATCCATTTTCTTCTGCTTATCCGGGGGCCAGGTCACGGGGCATTTGTGATAGTAAATGTAGTTGACCATATTGTCCTGTAAACCAAAAAGGCCTTAAAATCCAACTCTCTGAAACCATTTTAAATGATGTCCAAGCAGAAGACAAACTGTGACTGTTCCTGAGCCTCATTGCCAAGGCCCATTCTCCATGTGGCGGCTCTGTGTGAGTCACGTATCAATCGTGAGGAGGAGGAAGAGAGGGAGGGAGGAGGGAGGGGGGTAGAGAAAGATGGGGAGACAGGGAGGGAGAGAGAAAAAGAGAATGAGAAGAGAGGCAGGGGAGAACACCTTTGTTGGAAATGTTCTATACAAACATTATTTGTTGTTTTGTTTTATGTATTTATTTGTTTTCACGCAGTGGACAGTTTTCTGGTTCACGCCTCAGGAGACTATTGGAACACATCAGTTTACAAGAGAGAGGAGAGAGAAAAATAGTGAAAGTGAAATAGAGGAAGAATGGAAAGAATAATAGACTAGTCACAATGCCCAATGTACTTCTGAAGCCACAGCTGCCCTGGAACATGAAATGAAGAGACAGTTCAAGGCTATGGGCGCCCTTATACATGTCTGTGTTCATCTTCTTTTTCCTCTCATTCAAATATCATTTCTCCTGTCTCTCTTGCAGCTGATGTTCCTGGCCTACCTCTTTTTCCTGTTCTTCCTGGTCTCTCTTTCTCTTTCTCAAATTGTGTTTCTCCTCTCTCTCTTCCAGCTGATGTTCCTGGCCTACCTCTTCTTCCTGGTGTGGTTGGGAGTGACCGCGTTCACATCTTTGCCGGTCTTCATGTACTTCAACGTCTGGTCCATGTGTCAGAACACCAGTGTCGTGGAGGGGGCCAACCTCTGCCTCGACCTGCGCCAGTTCGGTAAGTCACCACAAGGGGGAACTGTTCTAAGAGGTGTTATTAGTTAAGTACTGGTTTATAAGTAATTGATTGCTCTGAAATCTCAAATCATGTAAAAATGCAAAGCTCTGTTTATCACATGAGCAGAGTCTGTATATTGCTGGGTTTCAGATGACATCACAACATTCTCCAGGCCAATTATATCTAATACAGATGGGGGCAGCTAAAATTGACATTGTTAAAATGCAATATCTTTAAATTAATACACTGTAGCAATATTCATTAACTATCTTGGTGTCAAGTTACTTCTGGAGATTCAGTCACAAGGCAACTGAGGCTCAAACATGCTTACGGTTGCTTCTGTTTGATCTAAGAGCCTATTCTATCCGTTAGCTATTTGCTAAAATCATAATTTTGAAAAGTTTTAGAATGATCTTGAGCTGTATCAGAACCAGTATAAGCGCATATAGACTAGTATACACCCATGGACCACTATGGAACCTTCCTGAACGACTGAGGTATTACACAGATATAAGGCCACATAGTAATATACAAAAAGTACTGTGATTTAATATAGAAAATCACATTGTATTGTCTAGACAAAGAGTGTTTCAACTATGATTGTGGTATTAGGATCAGTATTGCATACCAAGTCTATTCCTTCTTCTTCTCATCAGATTTGAAATTGTAGTATCGAGATGACACTAGCAGGTTATCTTGAGCAACAGGATGGCTTCAAAATATTTATACAACATTACAGTTACCTAAGGCCACCTTTGGTTCTGGTTCATATTTCTGGTGTAATCTGGTTAAATGGCAGTTCACCAAACTGACCAAACTGGCAGCGCCCATGGAAACTGTGTGCTCCAAATGCCACACAGAGCAGCAGGTGTCAGTGCCACCCCCAAATGTCACGCTCCAACTTAGATAGGTGTAGTCACATTTTTAATTATGGATAAAAAACACTACTGTACATCTGATGATATAGACAACTTGATACTAAATACTGAGTCCCATACTACAATGATGACAATGATGAATTGAATGTGTTTTTCAGCATTAAATAACAGTACTTTCTTTCATATTACCAAATGGTCTTATACTGTGTAATCCCTCAGTCATGCAGGTAGGTTCCATAGTGGTCCATGGGTGTATACTAGTCTATGTGCTCTTTTACTTGTAATACAGCTCAAGATCACTCTAAAACTATTCAGGAAAGGTTCATTTCTGTCCTGTGAATGTGATTTTTTTTTTTGTATCAATACTCAAATTGCTCAAATGAGTATCTCGTTTCGATACTAGTTTTAGTATTCATGAGTATGTCTTGTCCTATTAAATTGCCACACAATTTTACATTAACATGTGAATTACATTAATGACATCTAACCTAACCAGCAGGACCTCCTGGGGCTACATAAATAATTGAAAATAATGGAATTGTCACCATGACAACCCAAATTAAAGCGATGCTGTATAAACATGTTATTTTGTGCAGAGCCACACTCCTCCTCCATGTTGTTGTGTTTTTCTCTCACTTTGAACCTGAAAGCAAAGCCATGATGTAATACAAGAGAAACCGTCCTGTGATGGCTGCCATCTAGTGTTCAAAATCAGATGCAGAAATTACTGATGGGAAACATGGGTGTACTGTTAGAAATGTTATTATTTCCAGCTCAATACAGAATTCATTTTAGTTTGCACCAAAATATGTCCCGCAAGCATATTACCTTCTTCTTATTACCTCTTCAAAAACCCGAGAATTAAACCTGATGTGCTGCCACAGTAGTTAGAACATGGGTGTATTGTAAATTATGGAGACTGGCTGATGTTAAGAATGGTTATTATTTCCCTCTATAAACAATTCATTTTAATTTCACTGCAGTTGATGGTAGTTTTGGTCATATTTTCTCCCAATTATTCTTTCATTCTTCACTCACAATATCACCACATAGCCAGGAGCTACCGGGTTCAAATTCTTCTTTTCAACAACCTTAAAGGTGAGGTGCACTATGTACATTTTCTGGTGGAGGATTTGCCACCTGTTTTTCTCCTTTGAAAAGATATTGCTTTGCTATGTTCCATAAACGCCTTAAACTCCATAGACACAAGCATCTGACACAGCCAAGCCAAAGCAGGTCAGATCTGTGGAGAGGTTATCACACAAAGCATTTTTGTACTAGTAGAAACATCTGTAATTGGATAAATGCATAAAAATAAATGTTTAATGCCATAGTGGGGAACATTCCATGCCTCCAAAAGAAAAGCTACAGTGTTCCTTAGATATCATGTCATATAAAAACACTTCACTGTGCAGTATCTGAAGCAGACTCTTTATGATCATTTGTCTTCATCAAACAACTTAAAAAATCAGCAGCTACTATTTTTAGCTTTATTTATTTTTTTGCCCTCTTTAGCAGCAGTGGTGTTTTGTAATGCTCAGAAATTAGGAATATGTTGCTTTTAGTCGTTTTAATATGAAACACCACAATAACACAAAATATGACTCTTTTAAGTCTATGAACTCATTGTTAATAGTGGGGGGAAAAAATAGCAGAAACGTTATGCATTGCACCTTTACTAACTGTACTATGTTTTATCTGTTACAGGAGCTGTGACTATCTCTGAGGACAGGAAAGTGTGCACAGGATCTGACAAGTTCTTCAAGATGTGCGAATCCAACGAGGTCAGAGGCAGAACTAAAGAAATTAAGTTCATTTAACAAAAATAAAGTGCATTGTAGTAACACTAATGTCCTCCTCAGCTGGACCTGACCTTCCACCTGTTTGTGTGCGCACTGGCAGGAGCTGGGGCTGCTGTTATTGCTATGGTGAGAATATAACAGATATTATTATTAGAATATCATTACAACTGTATCATAAGCAATGGTTCGCAGACAGTGTGAGTGCGAGTCTTGCCTAAAGAAATGCTAGTAGTTATTGACTTTTGCTATTGACTTCCTAGACACCAGTGTATTTCGTGCACTAATTCCTTCATATTTTAAGTCAATATATATATATATTTTCTGACTAAACCTGACTCTGACTCTAACCTTGTTTTTTTTTTTTTTATGTTTTTATTGCACTCAAAAAATTACTTATTTGTGAGAGGACTTAGAAGAAAAACGTAAACAATGAACATTAAAACTATAAAACTAAAATTATGTTAAATGTGTGGATCCTTTTGTCAAATACTGGTTGGTGTAACCAGTTAAAGATGCACTGTGGAATTCTTCTGATAGAGGATCCGCCACCTGCCTCTTTACATGAAACTGTTATTGAGTTGCTTGGATTTATTCTACAGTATGGCATTACACTTATGTATCTCAACTAAGTACAAGCAAGTGATGCCACAGGGTCAGATCTGTGGAGAGGCAAGCCCACTCACAGTAAAAAATTCATGTTTTCAAGTCATTAAAATGCATGTAATTGAGTAAATGCAAGATGGATAGTTTAACGGCATACTGTGGAACATTCATGACAAAGTAATAACATCTCCATGGAGACAAGCATGTGATGGACCCTCCAACAAAAAAGTTACACAGTGTATCTTTAACAATAACAATTATTAGGTTCAACATTTGTGTATTTTCTGTTCAACAAATACCTCAACCATAGAGTTATACTGAGCCCTGCTCTCTCTTTGACATTTTGAAATCATTAAATTATAAAGCGTGCATCTACATAACTTATTGATTTTCTGTTGCTACATATAAGCTGCTAGTTTTGATTAGCATTGATTTTATGGCAATCTCATAAATGGTCTGTTCATTTCTATTAAATTCTGTTCATTACTTAAGACATTCCTGGAAAATATTTTTAAAAACATGATTGATATAAGTTTAAAGCCTTCTAGCTAAATGAATGCAGGCCGTTAAGTATAGGACTAATCAATACGTTTTAGCATTGACTTATTTTGCACGGACTGAGGTAAATCATTAAATGCAGTTTACATTAGGCCTGGACAAATGCCCTCCAGGGACAAACTTTAGTAACTGTAAAAATACCAGAGAAAACAATGGAATATACTGTGAAAATACTAGTATGTGAGTCCTTCTAGAGAACTGATCTGGCTTGTTCGTGAAAAATTTGTGTAAAAATGTTTATGTGCACCCTTTCTTTGACTTAGAAAACACATTTGAAACACAATTTGTATGATTCAGAAATCTTTTGGTGAGCTACTTGGAAGGGGGTGGAGAGCTACTGGTAACTACTAAGCTACAGGTTGGAGATCGCTGTTGTAGAAGTTATTTAGATCAGCAGCTCTATTCAAAATCACACGAATCAGTCTGTCTGTGGGAGTTTCATAAACAATATCTACAAATGTCATGAAAACTGTGTGTTGGTTTGTCTCAGTTAAATCTAGACCATTCTGATTAATTATTAGATTATTATATAACTATTAGATGGATGAATAGCGAGATTAGATAAAAAGATGGATAGATGGATAGATAGATAGATAGATAGATAGATAGATGCAAAGTTAAACAGATAGATAGATGCAAAGTTAGACAGATGCAATGATAGATACATAGACGGATAGATGCAAAGACAGACAGACAGATGGATAGATAGTCAGACAGAAAGATAGATAGATCAATGGTTGCAAAGATAGATAGATAGATAGATAGTCAGACAGACAGATCAATGTATGTAAAGATAGATAGATAGATAGATAGATAGATAGATAGATAGATAGATAGATAGATAGATAGATAGATCAACAGACAGACAGAAAGATAGACAGAAAGATAGTCAGACAGAAAGATAGATAGATCAATGGTTGCAAAGGCAGATAAATAGATCAATGTATGCAAAGATAGATAGATAGATGCATAGGTAGATAAATGCTTTGGTAGATAGATAAAAAACTACATAGATTCAAAGACAGACAGACAGATAGATAGTCAGATAGATTTATGTATGCAAAGATAGATAGATGATGGATAGATAGATAGATGGGTGGATAGATAGTAAAACTCTGCTGCACATTGGACTCACCCCGCTCCATCTGCCGCTCCCCTCCCCGCAGGTGCACTTCCTGATGGCTCTGGCTGCTAACTGGGGCTACCTGAAGGATGCCAGCCGGATGCAGAAGTACGAAGACATCAAGTCCAAGGAGGAGCAAGAGCTGCACGACATCCACTCCACGCGCTCCAAAGAACGACTCAACGCTTACACATAGAGAGGAGAGCCAGCAGAGGGCGGCACGCACCATTCAAACAGAGCATAGGCACATACACACAAGCACCCACCTGACAAACAGCGCAAATATACCACTAAATATACTATGAAAACACCAACGAGTTAAGTTTTAAAAATATACTATAAGGAAGCAGGGAGCACAGACACTTGGCAATCCATGGTGAACACTGCAGAAAATGTACTGTTGTTAAAATGATTTGAATTAACTTGCGATTTTTGAGTTGTTTTGACTAATTTAGAGTTATTTACTTAGTTGGTAAGTTAATCAAGTTATTTTAAGATATTTTTACTGATTGCAATATAATCTGACAATGGAGTAAGAATTTTGTCTGTTTTCTTGCTTAACTTGACAATTTAGCTCAAAATTAGAAAAAAAAATCTGTATTGAAACCAGTCAGAAGTATCTTGAAATAATGGTAAATGATACAGTCAATATACGAAGTTGCTAAAATTTATATTCTGATCTCAAGTCATTTTAACTAATAGACAATTTTTTTGCAGTGTGCAACTTTTACCTCCAAGAAAGCTATTTTGTATTTTTTCCATCATAAAAAAGTGGTGCTAGATGGTAGAAAAATATGTAGAAATAAATATAAGTAGTTTGAGTAGTTGTATTTTAGAGCCAAATTAGATTAGATTCAAAATAGTACACTAGACTAGGGTGATTATAGAAAATTCCTTTACCATTTTAACTATTTTTTTTGTGTGTATTATTTTGCGCTTCGAAAGCAGCTATGTAGAAAGATTGAATGTGCTGAACAATCACATCCCAAAACGGTACATACTTACACAAATGGACAGTATTGTATAAAGAATGCCAAAATAATGTATCCAAAGAGGAATTGTGAGTTTTTCAGTTACTCATTTATGGCATGTATTAAGGAAAAAATGTGCTACTATTTAACCTTAAAGCATTATAACTTTTCATTGACTTGCTACTCTGTAATCTGTTGGCGTATACTAGCAATGCCAATATTTAGCTTTGTATAGAGTATAGATTGGCGTATTTTACTTTCAACATTACGGTAAATAGCTACTACCAATAGCTATTTTAAACTAGCTCACTATGGATTGTCGTAAGCGTCTGTGATTTCATTGCTATAATTTGGGGTGCATCCAAAAAGTGCATTGTCCATCCCCCTTGTATCCTTCTTTACACTTTACACTATACTGATATAGACACAACATATTAGACATAAAACATTCTAGATGTGGCTGATTGGTCGGTGTTGTCTGGTGGTGTCATATGCTGTAAGTCGTGTCCGTTTTGCCACATTAAGATGACTGGGAAATGGAGATTTAAAATGGTTCCCGAGGAGTTTGTATCTAATATTGGGTACAAATGGGTAGCTTTGCTGAAGTCCCCCCTGACCATTACTCCCTATACACCCCCAAACCTCAAACCTTGTATTGTCTTTTTCAACCCACTTTCATTAGTTGTTGCACGCAATTAGGAATGGGTTTTCAGAAACTTCTAGAACGCACTTAGCTTCAATAAAGTGACAACCCAAATTTCATAAACATTGGGACAGTGAGTAAAATGCAAATTCATAAATAGTTAGGAAAAAAGGCAAGATATATCACATGTTGAAACCAAGATTGCATGTGATAAAGTGCTAAAATGCTAAAATGAAATCACTATCCAAATGCATTGAAATTGGGGTTGTTCTAACTAAATATGCAGATGTTTTGATGTCATACAAGAGACCAAAATTATTTATTTGTATCGACATCTTAATTTGGATTTTGACATATATAGCACTTAAAATGGCAGTTTAGATTTGTCCAAAAAGAAAATGCCATTTAAAAGAACAACTAGTGAAATGGGGTCATTGTCCCTTATCTCTTTCCGTCCAATTTCCAATTTGTAAAAACTTGTGATTTTTGTCCTCCGAAACAGCACATTTAGCAGCACAAAGTATTTTTAACGTGTCCATATTGAACCATTAAGGTCTGTTTATAATGTTTTTCTTCACTGGAACAATTTTGCCACATTTTTATCGATATTATTTATGTGTGATTTTAGCATTTTTTGGTATTTAAAACAGAAATTTGGGGCGGGTTTTGCGCGGGTTTTTGGGAGGGTATGGGTTTACTGTATCACTTGATTTCACTTGATTTGTAAATGGATTATGCACACACACGCACATGCAAAATGACACAAAAACTTACCATTTTTAACACAATTCATAATTTAATTCATGTTTTTGATTTTCATAAACAGGCCCAACAAATGTGACCAAAATTTTAGTTTACAAATTTCAGCTGACTGATAGTATTACTTAACTTGATGTGTGCGAATAAGCTAAAGGTATACTGTGAAATGTACACTGGGCAAGATGGTTTTCAAAAACATTTTAATGACTGGTATTTTGATTGGAAAAACTGTAAAAGTGGTGCTATACAGAATATTTCATTAACAGCTTATTTGTTTTGATAATACAATTTAAGCTGTTACGTTAATATTGGATGGAGAGTTAGCAAGTTTGGAGGCAGTGGCTTTGTACTATTGATGCGCTAAGGACCAAAACAATTACCGTAGATTAGTTAATATTACCTTAGTTTAGGCTCAATATGGCAAAAATATTAGAAAGTCCTGAAGCCATTTGCTGTACTAGTTAAGCGCTTATTACATGTTAACTTAACCAGCAAAATGGCGATTCCGAGCTGCCAAAACCTGACCAAAACAATGCATTAATTCGTACATTTTGCGGGCAACCAGTGTCACATAAGGACCAAGTTTTTCCAAATGGCCTGTTTCCACCTCATATCCATTCTATCCTATGATTTCACCAGTCATTAAAACTACTGAAGATTGTATGTTTGTCCTGGTTTAAACTGTGAACGAAAGTGTTGATTCTCTATCAACCAATAGAGACGCGCCAGAGGGAGACGGATGGACAAGAATACACTGCAGAAAATAATATTGAAATACGTTAAATAGCTTGGAAACACTAAAAATTTACATAGTTGTTTTGAGAATTTTTAACTAGTTTAGATTTTGTTAATTGGTAAGTCTACATGATGACAACAGTTTTAATAGTTTTTCCTATACTCAAAAATGACATGTAGCCCATAAATCAATGCATTTTGTAATTTATTTCTATTTAATTATTTTGAGTTAACAGAACACATTTTAAGTAAGAGTAACTTAAAAATCAAAATATTATTGTTGGATTAACTTAAAATAATGAATTAGAATAAGATTGCATAATACATTTAGTTAAACTCAACATTTCATTTTTGGAGTGTATTCCAAGTTAAATTATGTGCCAATGAACTGTATATGATAACTTGAGTAAATGCAAACATACTTATTATAATAATTTAGCTTAAAACAAGAGATCAGAAACAAATATCTTTAAACACAGTCAAAATGTGTCATCCTGGTAATTAAATTTAAATTAGTAAAACTGCTCAAAACAAGTTGAATATTTTTAATTCAATTCAATATAACACATAGATTGTTATTTTTGGCAGTGTAGTTGTTTGGACAGTGGGTATTTTGAATGGCTTTTGAAAAGAATATGAAGCTACTATATACCAGCACACACTCTAAAAACACAAACATTTACAAACAGTACACAAATCACCTCTATCATCTTTGAGCCATAACTTTTACTTTCACCGATTACATGTCACTATTTTATTATCAATCTTTATTCTTGAAACTTTTTAAATGTGAAATTATTATTTAGGAAAAAAATGAGATGTGTTTTTATTTTGTTTTTGAGTTGTTGGGCAGTATTAAAAGCACTGTTCCTACATGATTCCTGTACAAATATATACATATATGTGAAACAGTCAAGGTGAGAAGCCGGCAGAATGATTTCCTATGGGTGCAGAGTCTGGGGGAGCAAAATACAGTCAAAATAAGCAGATTTTTCACTCCATGCAAATTAATTGTAACTCAACACTAGTCTAATACAAGGTACCAGCCAACAGATATGATTAGCCAGGCTTGTGTTACCAAAGTCATTGTAGTTATGGCAAAGTTTTGTTGGTAAAATAGGTGTAGATTGCAATACATCACAGACAGCTAGGGGGAGTCACTTCAAGCAAATGTAATTACTTTGCTAAATAGTGTATGAAATTAGCTTAGCCGTTAGCGCCAGTAGGTTTGATTAGGTTTGTGCTTAGCTTGTGTAACGAACTTCAGTATTAGCACTTTTTAGCTTTAGCAGTGAAATAGCATGCACTGGATAGCCTAGGCTTAGTGGAGCGTTTTGCAAATCTAACATTAAGGCCAGTAAATAACATTAACTTCTTATTGGCTCTTTTCAGTACGCATTGATGTAGCTGAATTATTGTGGCCTCAAGCTAGAGTAACAACCGACTTTGTAGCAGAAATATGTCACTACGAAGCTGGTTTTATGAATTGGGTTACTGCCGCTTGTTTTAGCAGTGTAGTCTAAATGTGTAGTTTAAATGCATAGTTAAAGTAGAACTAGCCTACTTAGTGCTTCAACACATTTTAAAGATTTGGGCTAAAATATTTTAAGTGAGCCCAACACAACATGCTCCCCCCTCAGTGTTTTGTAGAGTGCATAGACCAGGGCCTGTAGACTGTGTCAGACCTTGTGTCAGACCTTGTATCAGATCTTGTATCAGACCTGGTGTCAGATCTTGTATCAGAGCTGGTGTTGAGTTACTGTTGATATGAACCACAGCGCTGCAGAGGAGCCCCCCACTCGGCCCGACCAGGTGCACCCGGCCACACAGTATTTTTAAGGGTCTAGTTTTACAGTAACAGTATTCTATCATTTCATTGCCTGACAATGGATGTCTTGTCAGTGTTTTTAACCTCAGATAAAAAATAGTTTTTTGTGCACTTATTGCCCATCGTGAGCTCTCTTATTCTTGGTGTGTAAGTGCATTGAGATCCCATTGAGGGACCTGTGTATAGTCTTGCAGCATTGGTTATAACCTGAAGAAATAACATGAAAATGAATGAATTCATAATAATGAAGATAATCTTATACTTAAAAAAGAACAAAAAAAGACAGTGAATCTAGTTGTTGTTTGTGGCATGGTTATGCATTCAATGGTCCTCATTTTAATGATGAAAACAAAACAAAAAAATCATTCTTTTCCACAGGCGCTGTTCTGCTGATTTCTTTTTCGTTTCCACTCTTTGTGCAGTATTGCCGTTCCTTGTTGCTAATGGTGTTGCTAAGCTAGCTTGCTTGCTCAGTTGTTTACCACCAGAGCAATATGTTGTAGCATTTCTTTTGACCAGTAATACAGAAATGTAAAACCATTCCTTTTTTCTCTAAAATTTCTCAAACTGCATGGATCTATGACTGCGAATCTTAAGTGATATGAATACTATTATTAATATTGTTTCTCCTAATCAAATAAAGCTGATTTTGCAGTTGTTAATTATAGAAATGTATTGCTCTGGCTCATTGTCCCTGTGCTTGTTCGCATCCTCTTCCTCGCCTACTGCCTCGGCCACTGCGACCTCTAGCGCTTTAATATTCTTGACTCCAAATATAAATTATAGAAGCTGTTTTTTTATTACTTCCTGCAGTCACGCGGACTAAAATATGCATGCTAAGGATGTTTCTAAGCAACTAGCACAGTAGTCTTTCATAGGAGACATTCGCGATAGTGACATTTTCATTCAATCTTTATCGAACGTGGCCTTCAACTGTAACTCTTAGAATGGGGAGAGGATGGGAGCTGCATATAGTTCCCTTTTTTCAATTTTCCAATGTCTTTTTGTGATTAGACTATATGTACTTTAACACTACTTATCCTATGTCCTTATGTCTATCCATAACAGTACTACTACTACTACTACTGCAACTAATACTCTTGGACATATACAAGACAAGAGTGCAACCTAGCATCAGAAGTGAACGTGTTAATTTAGTATATTTAATTCACTTTATATTGCACGAGTCATAATCGCTTAAATTTGGTACATAGTAAGAAAAATTGCCTTACTTATTATGAACATGCCTGCTAAAATCTTGAAATTTTACACCAAAATCTATTGAAATGGCTCAGAATATTTAATCACAAAATTAAAATTAATGCTATTGCAGTATATTTAGTACAATTGATTCTGAAGTGATGAAACCTCTTACAAATTTGAAATCTAAAATGTCGTTAGTATGTTGTACCACTAACCCACAATTTTGGTTTGGCTGGACATTCTGGACATGGGAACTGTAATGTCTTTTTATTGTTTTATTCTTTTCAGTTTTTCCATAGTAACTTTAGACTTTTGTATGCACTCTGGTTGCTTAGTAGCGAGCTTTATCTGAATCACTCCTCCATTTTGTACATATCTGTGCCAACAGCTTGGGCAGACAGTGGCTTTTTTATTTGTAAAGACATAAACTTGCTTGCATATATAAATAAAATGAAATACTACACTTGTGTACTTGTTAATAAGGGAACATTGAGTTTGTGTCGTCATTTCTTTACGGATATGAACTCATTAACAGTTCAGACACAATATTCACTTAACATATTCATTAATCACAGACAATAATTTCTGATTTGAAGTCTTAGAAAACTTGTTCAAAGGAGATAATAGTCTGATTTGAATTGCTTAATTGCTATAATAACACAGTACTGTTGCCACCTGCTTTGTCTGAGATGGTTCACAGTATGAAAAAAAACTCAACTATTATTCAATTTGAGATATTTTTATTGCAGGAAATAACCTTGAAAATTGCATTCTTTTTCAATATTGCGTTCTTTTTGTGATGTCTTTCCACACATCTGACTTGTAAATTGGTCTTATGGAGTCAAATGCTTGTCCTTTAACATAGATAAATTTAATGTCATACTGTGGAACATTCCAGGTGAAGCAAGGTGTGCCCTGGTTTATAAAGTCTTAAAAAGAACACTGCACATTTACACACAATATCATAGACTTTATCATAGACTTTATCAGTAATTTTACCTAATTAATTACCTAATGTTTTCTCAAAGTGTCTTGTCCAAAGATACAACAACAGCACAAAAAAAAAAAAAAAAAAAAAGCATTACAACCACCAACCATCTACCAACTCACCCAAATGACCCTCACCCTAAAAACTCCATCAAGAGTTAAAAAAGAAATATCTCAAATTTGATCAGACTGTTGGGTCATCTTCAAATATTTGTTTCCATGGCCATGTTACTGCTTTGGTGAGAATGTTCCACAATACAATATTAACATTAACTGTCTCCATGGAGCCAAATTACCAGGCCAAGTTACAGGTTAAATGTAAAAATGGATGGTTTTCAAGATATTTTCTTTAGTAATGTAAACACTTGTAGAATTCTCCACAAGTTACATATCTATCATCATTACATTGTACAGACCACTGAGTCACACAATGTTCTTTCAAATGATCCTCTGGTTGAATATAGCAGGTAACTATAGCAACGCGAGCAAAGCCTGAATCACATGACTAATCCTAATGGCCTGGTTTGATGTATGATTTTAATGTGCATATTATAAACAAAAAATACATGCTATACTATTCAGTCTAATTAAAAAGCAAGTTAATAGTGTTTGTGTATAGTTAAAGCTGTAAGTGTAACTGCACTTAAAATGTTCCATAGCATGGGATTATCCTTCAACATACAAGCAGCAGATGATATAATGCCAAGTTACAGGTCAGATCTGTGTTGAGGCGACCCCACACACGGTGAGAATGTAGGTTTGGCATTGTATTTTTAGCAATAAAAAGCCTGCAAATTAATAAATACAAGTTAGATAAAATTTACTGCCATACGGTTGAACAATTCACCTCTATGAATTGTTGATAGTTAGAGTAGAAAAAGTTACATAGTGTACCTTTAAGATGCATTTTGATATTTGAACCAGGGATCTTGCTGTTGAATGCTGCTGTCTTATTATATTTTGTGTGTCATATTGCGTCCCCAGATGGCCCCTTATGCTCAATTTATTACGTAATATTCCTTTAAGAGAATTACGTCAACACATATTTTTTACACATGAGATATTGTCAACAGTGTAATTTAAGCATTTAATTACATTTCACACAGTCTTAAACAAATTAAAACAATAAGAGAAAAAGTATTGCATTTAATAGGTTTAAGAAAATAAGTGTAAATTCTTGGACATGTTTTTAATACAGATCCTTTTCATTTATAGACTGAACTAAATTTGGGAAACTGCACCACCTGGCGGACATTCTAGGAACGCCAGTGACAAACAGGGAGTGGCTGTGTGAGGACTATGATTTTGAATGTTTATCACTCGTAACGTACATTAACATTACCTAATGAGGGATGTAAGTAGCAACAGCAGAACCAAGTTTTGGTTTAAAGGTGCATTGTGTAACTTTTCTGGTGGATGGTCCGCTTTTCTCCATAGAAATGTTATTGTTTTGGCTGGAATGTTTCACAGTATGGCATTAAACCTTTCTATCTTCATGGAGGTCAAACCAGATCAAGTTGCAGGTCAAATCTGTGGAGAGGCAACCCCGCTCATAGTCAGAAAGCCTGTTTTTCAAGGTATTTTTGATCTGTAAAACCACATGTAATTTAATAACTGTAAGGTAGAGCTGTTTAATGTCATACTGTGGATTATTCCAGGCAGAGTAATGACATAAGCACAGAAACTTGTAATTGATTATGAGAAAAATATAAATGTGTTTTCTATATATCTCTCAATTGTATACAATTCTTTTATCAAATCAAGCACATTATTACCAAGAGTTATGGAACGCCAATCTTCCTGACTGGTTTGAAATCTGTTCTAGACCCTTTAATACACAGTAAATGTGAGTGTATGGCAAGTACATGACTATGTTGTCACAATTCCCGTAGCCTTGATAAGACAGAAATACATAAAAGGCCCCAAAACCTCTTATTTATTTATTAGTATCCATTGTTAATAAAATGACTTGTATCCATTTTTTTCCCACAAAATTTGTTTTGTCCCAGTACAGATATATTGTATAAACAGTTTTTAAGGTCAAAGTAAGTCTGCTGTGTATACTCTCTGCATTTAATTAGAAAGCATTCTGTTGTCCGATTATCAGAAAATACACTCTTTGTATACTAGTTTGTTGTCAGCAAAATGTTGCTCTCATCTCTGAAAGTTGTGATGCTTATAAACTCATTGTACTGAATAATTACGATTCTTAGAATGCATAAGGTAAGTGAGGAATAACTTTGGGCCACTGCAAACTATTTAAAATTAACTAGTTTGGTTCTTCACATTTTTAATATGGTAAAAAAAAAAAAAAAAACAGATACAGCCCCTTTAAGTCTATTACTGAACTAATATCAGACTAAAAAAGTTATGACAAAAAGGGCCCAAAAACATAGACGTGTCCTGGAAGAAGTGGTGTGTTTCTTGAATAGTCAGGAGAGCAAAAGAAATGCAAACAAATGTCCTGCTTTTGTAGTGTTTTATAAAAGGAATAGATAACAATACTTTTATCACTATTGTAACATAAAAAAGTTTTTTAAAACTTTAAAAGTCTATTTTGTGCATAAAAGTGCATAACAATTTGTCCATTCATTTAAATATCCCAATATTTTTAAAGCAATTCACAAGGACTTAGAGGTGAGAAAGTCAGACAGCATAAATACAATATACATAACAAAGGTTTTAAAAATACTGAACATGTATTCATTTGGAAAGTTCTGCCTCATTAAAAAGCAAGACAAGGTGCTCAAATTCACTGGACATAAATATTAAACCTGGTCGCACGATGTAAGTTTAATGTCATTATCATAACATGTAATAATATCTGGAGACAAGCAGGTGTGGACCTCCGAATAAAAACATTAAAAATACAACAAAAAAATTTTGAAAATTGAGTAATCCGTATTTAGAGCAACCCACTTCAGACTTGGTTTGAATCTGCTTAAATCCTGGTTTAATTCTTTTCCAGAAAATATATTGTTCTGGTTGAGAAATCATTTAATCCTGGTTTAGTCCTGGTCTAGTTTTGTTTTGATTTGCTGTCCTGGTTTAAATATGGCATTGTCTTGTTTCTTTTTCTGGTTTAGAACTTTTGTTTTAGTTCCCTTTTATCCCTATTCTCCAAGCTTTGGGCATAGTGTTCATTTGGTCACATATCAAGTGAAAGTACCTATTATTAGAGATCCTCTTGTGAGCTTTAAGCCATGTTAGAATGTTGTTACATCATCAAAAACAGACCTGGAGTTGTGTTTAGTTTCTTTCACACGTTTGAGTAACTCTGTATTATAACTCTGTCTACATCCTCAAAGCTCAAATGCTCTGTTCCACCTTATGATGTCATGAAGTTTCAGTTTTCAAGTTAACAGCTAGATTTTAGCTTTTGTTTAGTGGAGATTGGCGAATCCATGGCTGAAATCATCTAAATGATTTTAGTGAAGGTGTGTGGAGTTTAAAAACACTGTGGAGCACTTCCCGTATTATCACATGACATTACAAGGTGGAACAGAGTGTTTGTTCCAGGTATGTTTTTGATGAGGAAACAACATTATAAAATAGATCAGAAAACAGACTAATATGGACCCTTTAAATAATTCCCAGATTCTCATAAACAACCTCAGCCTCTTTCTTTTCTGTCTCCTCTTTTTTTGGCTGTGGCGACGCGGCACGTTTGTTTGTTTTGCACACCTGCGCGTACAGGTGAGCAAACGGATCCACCTTCTTCACGTCTTCCTCTTTCTTCTCCTCCTCCTTTTCCGCCATCCCTTTCACCGGCTCACTGTAGATATGATCATCATGCTCACATTTCTCAGCGCTATGAGACTTTATGCTAACTTTATCAAACACCTCTGAGTAGACTGAATGTAGCTTGTTCTGGCTAGGTTCCGCGTTTACGGGTGGTGTTAGCGGCAGTATGCTTGCAGGATCCACGTACAAACCCAGGCTAACTTCTGGAGATTTCATGCATTCTTGTGGATCAGCGTAAACACTGTCCATCGCACTTTTAGATCTAATTTCTTGTGTGGGGAGTGAAGGCAGGGGCATTAACGTTATCGGGGCTGGATGCGATGGTGTAATAACCTCTTCGTTGTCCATTTTGAGTTTGTTTTCAAAGATGGAGGACATGCTGTTAAACTCGGGGGTTCTGGGGAGTATAGGGGAGTGGGCCTGTCTGTTCACGGGCATAGATTTGTCCACTTCCAAAACGTGTCCAGCGGAGGGCGCCGTGTTCGTGGTCTTGCGTTTGATGGTGGATTGGATTAAGCTGAAGATGTTTTCAGCTTGGGAGGTCTCGAAGATGAAGGTGCCTGGACCACAGTCACAACGTCGGCCTGTTTCTATGGACAACGAGCCCTGGAGACAAACAACAATGTGTGGATTTATAATAAAGCCCCAGTATGTAACATTTAATTAAAAAAAAAAAAAAAAAAACAGACAAAATTAAGTGTTGTGTTTTTTTTTTTACTAACACACCCTAGTTGTTAAGGAGTGACAGTTCACACCTTAGGGTAATTAAGTTACTTACTGCTTTTTATGGTGAAATGCTGCTGTGAAGAGGTAGGGTCCATTTACAGTGAACAACACTTAAAATAATTATACATATGCTGAAGAGTAACACAAAATACTAGGGATGCACCAATTCTGCTTAGTTTAGTTCCAATACTGATTCCAATACTATAGCTTTAAGCCCCCGTCCGCACTACTATATATCCGAATCGTTTTTGTTGTAGATGCAGTGTTCATCCACACTAATCCGATTGAAAATGACTCCAGAGACGGAACGATCTGGTGCCGCCAGCTCCCATGAATTCATTTGAGTACAGATCTGATCCGGCACTGTGTGGACACCTGAAAACGCTGATTCGCTGATGTAGGTCCTTGCACCGTGAAGTAGCTAATTCACCGCCAAAACGCTAAGAAGCTAGCATATTTTCATATATATACGGTCTATGGTATGGCCTGCAAACGTATAATCTCTGAAAAGAGATTGAACCATGAACCATCTTCAACGCGATAGAAGCACAGAACAGACTCACCATCAGCAGAACACCCCTCTGTCACAAAAAGAACACATATAATCCACTGAGTCGACCTTTAATCCTTTAGTCCAACAGAAGCTGAACCACATCAGCGCACAATAGTGAGCTGTTTTTGAGCCCTCAGTTTATGCAAATTAGCCATGCGGTTTTGAGTTTCGGTTCTGTAAAACTTAAACAAATATGCTCAAAGCTGTGTGGATAGGGAAGGATTACAGACCCAGAAATGACACGTGTGGACACAGATCGTTTCCGATACGGTCATACATGGATCCATTTCAGTGTAAACGGGGTCTAAGTATCTGCTGATAACAACCGATACAAGAGGAGATAAATAAAATAAGACACAGCAAATCCAGCAAATTTTCCAGTATCAGTGCCAATATCCGATACCAGTATTGGATCTGTGCATCCCTACTAAATACCAGATAAAAAGCATACTACGTGTTCTTTAAGTTTACCTTGTCCTTCCCGTATCTCCGGAGCAGTTCGTAGTGCCACTCCTGCACTTTGCTTTTTTGTGCGTCTTTGAGCAGCAGCGACTCACGACCCACGTGCAGCCAGTACCCCCCCTGCAGGCCACACCGCACAGCTGCATCTGTCCTCTGCACCGTCACACGGAAATCTGATACTGCAAACACAATACATTATGTTTTTTGTTACTAGTGGAAGAGAAGAGTGAAGTGGTATTGGTATTATGATTGGCTATGTGCATCTTTATTGAGACTGTGGTGGAGTTACTGCTTTGCCTGGAACATCCCACAGGAGAACACCAACAGGCCAAGTTGGGGTCCCATTGATTTGTAAAATGTAAAATGTAGGTGTCATAATGTTGCCTCCTCTAAAACATGGAGATGAGTTTTATTGAGATGTTTGACTAATCCTTTATTATTAGTCTGTCTTTATTATTAGTCTGTTCAAACTGCTCTGTCCCACCTTATGATGTCATGAAGCTGTAGCTTTCAAGTTAATAGCTGCCTTTTACCTTTTCCATAGATGTTCCAAGGCTGAACTTATCCAAAATGATTATAGTGACATTTTATAAATACAGTGGAACACTTCCTGTATTACCACATGACATCACAAGGTGGAACAGAGTGTTTTTTGTTTGAGAGAAGAACTCAGCCTAAATATGCAGGGTTTGTAAGGTAAACATAACTCTGTGTATGTTTTTGATGAGGAAATTGTATAAGTCAGAAAACAGAGTAATATGGGCCCTTTAACACTGTGTGGAACACCCCAAGCTAAGTAGTGGAGACAAGCGGACGGCACACCTCCTAAACCAGGAAAGTTACATAGTGCGCCTTTAAAGGATGTAACTTTGTGTACTGTCTTTTTTGTCAGTAATTTTGTTCTCTCTAGATTTTCTTACCATCGTCTGCTGAGGCGTAAATGGCGTTCTCCTCCATTTGAGGCTTTAGCTCTGGGACACTAGTTTTCTGAAACTTTGGAAGAAAAGAGAGATGCATTATTTAGAATCATTGTAAAAAAAAATATTCCTTTTTATGTGTCTGTCTTTACCTGAAATGTATTGTGACAGAGTTTGTCCACCCACTCTGCGCAGTCATCTTTGAGATCAGCAAACACCAGAGTCCTGTCCTGAGTCTCCACACAGAACGCACACATGTTCTCCTGCACAGGGCACAGAAGGACAAGTCTTATAAGTCAGGTTTATATAACTATTTATAACTAAATAAAAGTGTTAGCTGTACCATGGGACAGGCCTCTGCATTGGGGGGCAGTTTCAGCACATTGAGCAGCTCAGACAGTCGGATGATTTTAGGTTTCTTGTCTCCCAGAGCCTGGTGCCTCCTCCGACCGGGCCCCTCCAGTGAACCTGTGCACAGGGACACACAGGCTGGTATATAAGGACAGAATGACAGTAGAAATAAAGCATCCACACTACTGCATAGTTTCTAAAATCATTTTGTTTTGGTTACTCTTCCCATTGTGTGTAAGTTTACAAGTGAAAAAAAGATTTATGCTGATATGAAATGATCTGAACATTTGTGTTTCTTGTTGCGCTGCTCCTTAGATGTAATGTAGTCTTAAAAATATCAGATTTTGTGCATAATTTATATAACGTCCCGACAGTTACTTGTTGCAGTTGCTCTTTTTCCACTAAATGCTTTACTTGACTAATTTCTTTGACCACTACTTTGTAGTTCTCTGAAGTAATATTACTCTTACTTGACTACAATTTATGGCTATTCACCAAACCTCTGACCATTACACTCTAACACGAAGAATGTAAGAAGAGGTCTGTCATCTATAAATCACCACCAGGAGGGGCTGTTACACTGGGTTAAAACACACTACTGAAGGCGGCACGTGTCACTGTTCAGAGCTCATGTCAGGGCACTTTTATCAACAATGGACAAAACATACACTACAAATGTTTAAGCTAGAACTACTGTCTGTGCTATGTATTTTACACATAGTTACTGCAGCCACCATGTTCTTGACAGAAGTTTGACTGCAAATCTGCACAAGGCCCCTTTGACCACATATGGCAGGAGGTGTCTTGCTCATCAACACAACAGTATATAATTTTGGCCAAACCAACTGCCAGTCACACAGAAAGTAATTAAAGTCATTTCAGTTTAAAGTCAGTTTAAAGTTGCATTATTAAAATAGAGTATTATGATTGATTTTAACGTGAATCGAATCAAAATGACAATAAGAATGAATAAGACAGAGTTGTCCTTTATTAGGGGTATAAAGATATCCAAGTCTCACGATATGATATTGTAACGGTATGAACCTCATGGTACGATATTTATTGCAATATCATGGGAAAGCTCACAATATGGTGGGGAGGCTCATGATTAGGGATGTAACAATATCCAAATCCCTCGATAATATTTATTGTGATACTTTGTGGAGGCAAACAAAACTGTTAATATGCTACTTTTTCCTCCTCCTAAAACGTCTTGACAAGACTTAATACAAAGAACTAAGACTTTAAAGGGCTTAGAACTGTTATTTCTTCTTATAGTCTACATTGAAATGGAGCAAAGGATCATGGTCTATGTAGTTCACTCTGTCGTAACTCTTAATTTAAGCAAAGGGGCTTGTAATTTGATATATTGTGATGGTCCACGATATTACTGTGAGAACTTTGACAATATGATATCACGATATTTCAGTTCTTGTTACATCCCTATTTATTAGTTTATGAAATCTCTACATTACATTGCAATTCGTAAAGGCTACAATTTTTCAAGATGGCCTATTATAATTTCCACCACATACAACAAAATATCCTATCTTATTCTACATAGAAAAACTGCTAACTCTGTAGTTTAGATTTGACATGTTCTCAAATGTAATTGTTGTATTTCTTCTGGGCGTCATTAAAGAGTCCACGTTATTTATGTTATAATGGCCCATTAAAAACAGACCCAGAGTTGTGTTTTGTTTCATTCACACATGATTAACACACAAATCCTGCCTTTTTTTTTTTTTTTTTCTCAAACAGAAAACACTGTTCCACCTTGTGATGTCATGTGGAAGTGGACGCGGATGTGGATTACCAGTGTTTTTAAACTCCATACACTTTCACTGGAATCATTTGGATGATTTTAGCCCTGGAATTGCCAATATCTACTATACTAAAGGTAGAACAGAGCATTTTGAGCTTTGGACATGTCAGATTAATAATAAAGGATTACTCACACATATGTGAATGAAACTAAACACAAATCCAGGCAAGTTTCTGATGATGAAACAACATTCTAACATGGCTTAAAGCTCACAAAGCTCACAAGAATCAATTTTGTATAATATATGACCGCAATTACTCCCAAAACATGTAGCTCTGGTGTGGGCCAATATTTTTCTCTGTTCTCTGTCCTTGTACTCTCCCTATAGAGCACATGCTCTTTCACTCTGGGACTATCTCTTATTCATATAGACATCAGTACATCTCTTTTGTCTCTCATCCTCTGCTGTTCAGACTCAGTCCACATGTGTGTCTGTCTCCTCTCAGAGATCTGTTTCATGTTCCTGTAGATTTCCTGGATTATTTAAAACATGGGAGCAGAACATGTCCGCACAGGAAATATCGCAGGTCCAAGAAGTTAAGTAAGTTATGTAATAGCATGCACACTGCAAAAGATATGTAGCCCATAGATTTTTAACCAGTGTGCCAGGTGAGAGTCAGTTACAGTTATACTTTGAAACTGAAAAGACTTCTCACTTGTTCTGCCTTGTGATGTCAATGAGAGCTCCACTATGGTTTTATACTCCATACACCTTCAGTAGAATCATATGGATAATTTTCAACTGTGGAATTGCTAAACTATCTATTGTCAGAATGTCTGTTTTTCAGCATTTTTTTAGAGCTATAAACTGTGTACAGTTGTCCCTTGCTCTATCACGGTTCACTTTTTGAGGTCTCACTTTTTTGTGCAATTTTGCATGCCTTTTTTTTTTTTTTTTTTTTTACAGCGTATGAATGCACATTGTGCTCTTCCCCCTGCATCCTGATTGGCTGTAGACCATTGTCTACATCAGTCTCCTTTGTGCCGTGTCTCATGTACAGTACAGAATGTGTTCAGTTTGCCTAATTTACGTAAATATTCAATCTCTAGCAGTGTGATTTTGAAGTGCTGTATGTTTACAAGTTTTCTCCCTGACAAAAGCCACAATGTCGACAAAACGTTCTACACCGACAAAGGCTCCAACGGTCGCACCCAAAAGGCAGAGGAAGATATAACCATTACACAACAAGTGGGACTTCTGGACATGCTGAAAGAAGGTAGAAGTTACGTGGCTGTGGCAGAGTCCTGCACGGGTAAGGGCAAATTGTTGCTGAAACGGGCGAGTTTCAACAGTCTGGAATTACGGGCGGGTATGCCAACAGGGAGTGATTACACACGGGTGGGTCAGGACTAAACCAAGACTATACCAGGACTGAACCAGGCTTTAAACCAGGTCTACACCAGAACTAAACCAGGCCTAAACCAGGTGTACACCAGAACTAAACCAGGACTAAACCAGGACTGCACCAGGATTAAACCAGGACTAAACCAGGGCTAAACCAGGACTAATCTTGGACTTAAGAGACAGAACCCCAAGCCCATGGAGCAGAGTGTCCGCAAAGCGTGATCAGGCGACGGCCGCGCTTACCTTTGTGAGGTGTGGTGCTCTGTGCGGGTCCTTTCTGATGCAGTCACCTCTGAGCCCATCCCAACAGTGAGTCCTGGTTTAGTTCTGGTTTAGTCTTAGTTCAGTCCTTGTTTAGTTCTCTTTGTTTCAGTTCTGGAATCAGTCCTAGGTTAGTCCTGGGTTAGTCCTGGTTTAGTCTTGGTTCAGTCCGTGGTGTATGCAGTGCTAAAGTTGGATATAATCTTGGGTTAACGGGCGGGTGCGGTGCTTTGCGCCGTAGGGCTCCATTACGGAATAAATAAATCTTCGGTTCATTACAAAAAGAAGGAGGAAAATAACATAAGGACGACAGCAGCAATAAGTTTCAAGAAGAATGCAAAAAGGGTTGTAAATGTCCTGTCTGAGAAAAGTGTGTAAAGTTTGTGGTGAGGGGTTTTACAGAATTAAAACAGATATAATAATTGTAAAATATAAAGTTGACAACTTCGTGAATTTCACCTATCGTGGGTTATTTTTAGAATGTAACCCCCGCGATAAACAAGGGACCACTGTACTTTAATAAATATAAGTGAGAGTTGTTTAATATCATACTGTGGAAAGGTCCAGGCAGAACAATGGCATATCTATAGAAATAAGCAGTTAACAGATCCCCAACCAAAAAAGTTACACAGTGCACCTTTGAATCATTTCAACTGAGGCTGAACACAGCTGTTAACTTGAACTACTATTTGATGACATCACAAGGCGGGACAGAGCTTTTGAGGTTTCGAAATGTAGACACTATAATAACACAGGATTACTCAAGACAAATGTGAATGAAACAAAACACAACTCCAGGAATGATTGTGATGAGGTAACAACGTTCCAAAACCACTAGAAGCTCATATGAGTCATGTTTTATGTAATATATTTAAGTTAATTTAATAAATGTGTACCTCCTTGATCCTGTATCTCCAGGCGTCCAACTCCACTGCTGCTCGGAGGGACCAAGGTCAACCACACAGGCTTCCATTTCTGAAACACATTTTACACAAGGACAACTTACAATGAAGTTTATATCAGATTTACTTAAAGAGTCCATATTGTGCTATTTTATGATCATGTATATAAAAACAGTTGTGTTTTGTTTCATTCACGCATGTTTAACACACAAATCCTGTGTATTTAGGTTGTGTTTTTCTCACAAAATGGTAATACAAAAAGTGTTCCCCTGTGTTTTTAAACTCCATACAGCTTCACATGAATTATTTGGATAATTTGATCACTGGAATTGCCTATTTCTAGTGAACTAAAAGTAAAAGGTAGGTGTTAATTTGAACACTAAGCTTCATGACATCTCAAGGTGAGCAGAGCATTTTCAGCTTTGGAGATGTACAGAGACTAATTATATAGGATTATTCAAACATGTGTGAATGAAACAAAACACAACTCCAGGTCTGTTTTTGAGGAGATATAACAATAACATTTTACAATATAAATAGTTTGTGTTTGCATTCAAGAATTTGATGATGCTGTAATTTCAGATGGAGGGCAGGGGCTTATATAACTACGCTTTTCATGATTATTACTAAATAGATTTTTGGGGTCAGTATTCTCCATGGGGACTTTTTCTTTGTATTAGCAAGGAACTTTTTGGTGTTTTTTCTGTACATGATCATATTTGAGATGTGAAAGCTTGAATAAAAAACTTCTGTGGCTCATTATAAACACAGCTAAGCTCTAAAGTGATTCATTCTGCTGTGCATTTATAGCAGAATGTATTTTTTATCTAAATTATACATTTAGAATAGTTTTTGGAGATAACCCTGCTTGTGTCAGTGCAGAAATTTGTTTAAATATTATCAATTATTGTCTATATTTTCTTCAACAATATATGTCACTTCAAATTTTGTTACTGTCACAGGCCTATATTTAACTCTTTGGGAGAGGCACAGTTTTTGGAAAAAAATATCCAAATGTATTACTGATAAATGTTTGAACCTTATCATTGTTTGCTTTGTGTCCACTTGTGTTGTTACAGTTTAACAATGAGCTGGAGGGCAGGTTAGAATTCAATGGTGGAATTTGCTTTTTAACTGTGAAATTGCAAATTTGTTGACCTGGTTTATAGTTAACATCAATGTAATGACTGGGCCTATCCACATGAAACAAAAACTGGCACTAAGTCAACATCTTCTCTCCCAGTTACATAGACCCTCTCCTCCATCTGAGAGTATGACATCATCATATTGTACCACATGAATGCAACATACTGAAGGACATGACTCAGTGCATACAAATGTGAAGACATACTATTTACTCTAATATACTTTTAACCATCAAAACTGCACTTCCTCCAAACCCTTTGATATTTAGAAAGGTAAATATTAGTCACATCCTCTGCAGTCAATTAATGAGCAATCGTCATGGAAATAAGGAAGAATATAAAGTATGGGGCCAATTTATGTGTATGTTGTATTAGTAGTGGGAGTAGCAATAAATGAATTTAGTAATAATTGCAGCCATAGATTAGTAGTAGTAGTGGCAGTTGTGGTAATAGTAATGGTAGTAGTGGTATTAGTAGAATTAGTAGTTACTGAATAAAAAAATAAAAAAATAAAAAAAAAGTATATTCTTAATGACAAAAATATTAGAATTGATGGCCAAGCTGTTTATGTTACAATTTAGTGTTTTGGTTGTCAAGACAACAATCAGAAAGCAGAATGAGCCTCACACGAGTCTCTCATTTGGGTTGCCAGGTTCAAGGCTGAAATCCAGTTGATTTAAACCTAAAATGCCTCTCTCTGATCTGAATGGTCACAACCTAAACCCCAACCCCTGCAGACAATCATGAGTAAGTGCTAGTGCAGCTTTTGCAGCTCAGGGAGGAAATTCTGTAGTTTTCACATGAGACATGGCCTGTCCATATACTGAGGAAAACATGTATGTGTCCTCTTATCTGTACATTTAGGTGCTCGCAACCCAGGTTCAGTTGTGATTGTATCTTTTTTAAAACTGAGTACAGTCTACCTGCAGTTCCTTTAACTTCCCAAACAGAGTACGTGCTCTGCCTGAGGAATGTGGAGGCTGTTGTTCAAACTTGTTCAAATGAAATTCCTGGATTTTGCAACACACATTTTTAAAACAACTACACACTACATAACTAGAATATCTGTTTAAGTAATATTACTAATACTACTAATATTATAAATGTATAAGTAAGACTAAAGTAAATCTTATGTATCAAACTCCTTCCATGTATGGTAACTAACCAAATACTTTCCTGTGAATGCAGGTGATGATGAAGTCAAAATAAATATTGACTAAAAAGTAAAAATAAAATTATATGCACAAGTAAATGTAATTGTAATAACCCTGTTCAGGATTTTAGTACCACTTGCCTGTCTCCATGGAGATGGCAGTTTAATGTCCTATGTGGAACATTGTAGGACAAGCGACAACTCCATCAAGACAAGCAGGTGATGGACGCTCTACTAGAAAACTTAAAAAGATAAAAATGCGGATTTGCCTATTGAAATAAGCCTAATGCCAAAACACATCATTTTTAAACAGGTCTTCATAAATTCTAAATTATTTGCTTTGGAGTAACATGGAAACAGGTTTTACTCCTAAACTATGAGTCTCCCCTCTCACCAGTGACTGTGTCATAGTTCATAAATAATTACTACAAAGAGACTTACTTTTCCAGATTTGCGTGGCCGTAGGTAGACCCTGCCTGTTTTCCCAGTTGTGGAGTCCATTTGTGTTGAACTAGTTCTGAACAGTTTTACCTGTGGCTTGGTTAATGTTACACTAGAGAGAGGAGATAGAGAAGGAATGAAAGAGAGAGAGAGAGAGAGAGAGAGAAGATTGAGAGATAAATAGAAAGAGAGAAAAGGGGGTGTGTCCAAATGACGCACAGAAACAAGAGCCTACAGACACACCTCACAGTACTAAAACAATAAGGCAGGTACTATGCAGTAGTAGTATTAGTCGTATGAGTAGTAGTATGCTGAATTCCTAATATTAGTTAGTCACTCTCACCTTTTTATTCAAATTCAAACATCGAAACAGAACCAGAAACACTCATACTGATCACAGGCTCCTGAAAATGGGCTGTATGAATGTTTTATATTGTATTTTTTCAGACAACTAATTTTCTAATACCAGAAGATGTAGTTGGTAGAGCGTATAGCAAAAATATGACAAGTATGCATTTGGTATTGGTAGTGAATGCACAATGTATACTATAATACACTCCTTGTCATCTTTAGAATACTAGTAGGTGCGTCTTTGTTCTGAATCACCAAACAAAATCCGCAATAATCTGATGGATAAACAAATGTCTACTAGAATGTCTTGATTTATTTCCAGTTTATTATATACAACTATGTACATTTCATTGAAGGCTGTGGTTTAAGAACATTTTGGTGAAACCACCGCTTCTTTAAAGTGGGACTAAATACCAAAGTCCACCCACAAACACAAATTTCAAACAGAGCTGCTAAACTGGGCAGTAACTGGAGGAATAAAGAAAAGAGTTAAAGGAGAGGAGGAACATGGTCTAGAGGTATAAGGAGCAAAGTGATTGGTCAAACTCCACCCATTACAGCCAGGTGTATTCTGTAATCATGGCAGTCTTTTGTGATGTCATCAGCTGCTTGAAATTGCAAAGGTCACTGGAGGCGTAGGTTTTTGCTTTTTTGACCAGAGAGCTGCAAATTTACCCAGCTTGCAATAAAGTTGACAAAAAATGACTACACCGGAGCTACCAAAACACCATATCGTACTGTAGTAGTAGTAGTAGTAGTAGTAGTAGCATGGTTGTAGTAGTAATATCTGTTGTAGTACTAGTGTTTTGTAGGTATCCACACTTCAAACCCCTGCAGTTGTGTTTGTAATCACAAAAACAAGGCTGTAATCAGGACAGTCTTTTGTGATGTCACCAACTTCTGGAAATTCCAGAGGTCATTGAAGGCAGCACAAATTTAGATTTTTGACCAAAAAACTGCAAATGTACCTTGCACAAAAATAAGTCTGACAAGTAAATAAATAATAAATCATGACAAGTAAATAAAGCAATAAAAACACAATATATAGCTTAGTAGTAAAAAACGTGGATTCAGTGTTCAGTTCCTCTTTAAAGTGACCTTAGAATGAGATTTGAAGTCAAACCAAACGTGTAAAACAAGCAGGATAATGACATTTGCAGGATGTTAGTGATTAGCGGGTGTTGGAGCAGTTTAATCCATCACTGACGCGGGTCCCTGGGGAGAAGCATAGTCCTTCAGAGCAAGACGAGATCTGTGGAAATGGAAAACACAAATGAATGAAACCTTTTTAGTAATCAGACTGAGCAGGCCCTGAGAGGTCCAGTATGTCAATATCACAGAATCTAATCAAGGCTCACGAACTGCTACTAAAAACTGGTGAAACTTTGGCCTGTGTTTTTGTTCTCATTGGCAATAATATGACTATAGCATTGTTTTTTTGTTTTGTTTTTTTATGCCAGATGTCCTTCCTCTCCAGTCATATGTGGTTGAAGTGTTGAAGTGGACAAATTTTGCTTAATATGGTTGGTAATAATGTATTTAATGTATTTTTTTAATCTCCTACCCATGAGAAAAATAATCAAAATACTGTTTACTTTTGCCCAAACAAGCCCAACTTCAAGATGTACTGTTCGATTTAAGTAGAGGGTCCATCACCTGCTTGTCTCCATGGAGATGTTTTCGCTTTGCCTGGATTGTTCCTTATTATATGACAATAAACTTAACTTACATCAATTCAGTTCCAAGTGTTTGATTGCTATACAAAAATTGAAAAACACACATTCTTACTATGAGCAGGGTCACCTCTCCACAGATCACACCTGTAACTGGGCGTAGTAATGTCACCTGTTTGATGCCATATCGTGGAACATTCCAGGGAAAGCAGTAACATCTCCGTGGATACAAGCAGGTGGAGTTGAGCTAGAATGGCATTGACAGAAAAGTGTGTAAGTCTATTCTAATGTAATAGTTTGAAATCAGGTCAGAAGCCAGCAGAGAGTGTGACAGAGTGGTTCTCCTGCCGTTCAGAAGAACAGACCCATCACCTCTCCTCCTCGTCACATCCCATTCACAAATCAGCTCCACGCACAGAAATCTTTTGGCGCTCGGTCGCAACAATAATGAGGAAACTGTAAAATCATGAAATATTTAGAGTGGCTCCATTTGGGTCAGGCTCAGATCACAAAAACACAAAGCACTTCTCAAACAGCTCATCTAATGTTCAAAAGAGATGTTTGGCCTTATAGTAATATTGTAAGTATTGCAGTAGTAGTTGCTGTAGCAGTAGTAGTAGTAGTAGTATTTGTTGCAGTAAAAGTAGTTGTAGTTGTTGTAAGTAGTGGTAGTAGTAGTAGTAGTAGTAGCAGTAGTAGTTAGTAATTAAATAAATAGTAGTAGTAGTAGTAGGTGTAGCTGTAATAGAAGCAGTAGCAGTAGTATTAGGTTAGCATAGTAGTAAAAGTACAGTCCCTGACAAAAGTCTTGTCGCTTATCCATTTTGTAGAAACAAAAGCTTATAACCTGACTTTAAATTAATTGATTCTCATATGAAAGCTAAAACCCTCCCAAATTATGCTCAATATACTAAAATAAATTTGCTTCACTGAAGAAAGATTGATCATTTAAAGAACACAGAAAGGTCAGATTTTGGCAAGACAAAAGTTTTGTCGCCTACAGAAAATTTAACAAATAATTTACTTCAAATACAAAAATATGTTGCATAACGTCAGTGAATTAAGTCGTGGTGCTGTGAGATCCATATTTAATATCTTGTATGACTTCCATGAGCTTGAAGGACGCATCCATGTGGTTCCACAATGATTCATACAATTTGTTGATTTATTTATTTATTTATTTATTTGAGACAGGGACAGCGCACAATTTTCGCATCAACCTTGACAGGAGAGATGCATTGTACATCAGGTTGTAGCATCAGTGCTAATTTCCACCTGTAGTCCCTGGACAGATTCATTGATTGATTGTATTTAACTGACCTTGACTATCAACTGTTCTGGAGACCTGGAGCATGTTTTGGGTTGGGTTTGGTTCCTGTTGAAGTCATCAGGAATAGCAAAGAAAGCGTCTTACATGCCTCCCAGAGTCAAGATTCTTTGGTTTTGCCTTCCATGCTTCCTCTTTCATTCTACCCCAGACATGCTCAATGATGTTCATGTCTGGTGACTGGGCTGGCCAGTCCTGGAGCACCTTGATCTTCTTCGCCTTGAGAAACTTTGATGTAGAGATAGAAGTATGCGATGGAGCACCATCCTGCTGCAAAATTTGACCCCTTTTATGGTTGGGAATGTAAGAGGAGCTAATACTTCTTGATATTTTAGGATATTGATGTTGCCTTCCACCCTGCAAATGTCTCGCACACCCCCATACTGGATGGAACCCCAGACCATGATTTTTTTCCGCCACCAAACTTAACTGTTTTCTGGGTGAATCTTGGATCCATGCGGCTCCAGTAGGTCTCCTGCAATATTTGCAGTGGCTGTGATGTAATTCAACCGAGGATTCATCTGAGAAATCCACCTTCTGCCACTTTTCCAGTGTCCATCCTTTTAGCAGGCTGTGGGCCTTGGCAAATGCCACACGGTTTTTTAATTGCCTTTTGTTTAGTGCTGGTTTCTGTGCACTGATTCGACCATGGAGGCCATTTCGAGACAGAATTCTACAAACTGTTGTGGTTGACACAGGGACTTGAGGTGACCAGGCCTGGTGGAGCTCTGCTGCAGTGGAAAAGGGGCTGGCCTTGGATTTTCAAATCAACAAACGGTCCTCCTGAGCAGTTGTCTTGCGGGGTCTGCCGGACCTGGGCTTGTCAAAAACATCTCCAGTCATTTCAGATCTTTTTCTTATTCTTTGTACTTGACGCTGAGACACATTGAAGGTGTCAGCCACCTCAGCAGTGGATCTGGTCTTCAGCCTCTTGATAATTAATGCTTTGGTCTCAGGGTGGATCTTAGGCATGTTGTCAGAGGTCAAGTTGCAGTTGATGTGAAGGTCTGGTGTGCTGGGGTTCTTTTTATACACACCCACTAATTGATTGATCAGTAACTGATCACAGGTGAGGCTGTAATCTAGGATTGGGTGCATCATATGACAAGGCGACAAGACTTTTGTCTTGCCAAAATCTGACCTTTCTGTGTTCATTAAATGATCAATCTTTGTTCAGTGAAGCAAATTTATTTTAGTATATTGAGCATAATTTGGGAGGGTTTTAGCTTTCATATGAGACATTTCTAAAACCAATCGATTAATTTAAAGTCAGGTTATAAGCTTTTGTTTCTACAAAATGGATAAGCGACAAGACTTTTGTCAGGGTAGTTGTAGTAGTTGTTGTAATAGTAGTGATGGTAGTAGTAGTAGTAGTAGTAGTAGTAGTAGTAGTAGTAGTAGTAGTAGTAGTAGTAGTTGCAGTAAAAGCAGTAGTAGTAGTAATAACAGTAGTTGTTTTGGTAGTAATATTAGTAGTGGCAGTAGGCCTAGTATTTGTTGTATTTAAAGTATTTATAGTAGTAGTAGCAGTAGTAGTAGTAACAGTAGCAGTAGTAGTTTTGGTAGTAATAGCAGTAGTAGCAGTAGGCCTAGTATTTGTTGTAGTAAATGTAGTTATAGTATTTGCTGTAGTGGTAGTAGTAGCAGTAGTAGTTGTAGTAGAAGCAGTAGCAGTAGTAGTAGGTTGGTATAGTAGTAGTAGTAGTAGTAGTAGTAGTAGTAGTACAGTAGCAGTAGT